GAAGAGAAACAGTAAACTGTTCATTAAATACCATCACCCTTGGAGTTTTAAAGTGATAGAATCTGGAGTTTCAAAGAACTGTGGAAGCCAGTCCATTTACCACGGTTTTCTCCTTTGTTATACAAATGAACAAAAATATTTTTTTTATTTTTAATTGGAAACCCCTTAGAAAACTAAATTTGTGGACAAACTGAATGAGCAAAATTGAATCAGAAAAATCAAGTTGCGGAGATGAGGTTAAGCTCACCTTTATGATTAAGCCAAGGGTGTCGAATTTATGACCATTATGATTATAACACACCAGGAGGGAAGGTTGGACCAAAGGTCTCAAACTCACAACATTTCAGATCGGGAGAGGATGTCCATATTAAACTTCCAACTTCTCACCGTGGCGGTTGTGTATTAATAAAGACAGCTCTGAACAAACTATTCTTTACAGAACAACAAAAAGAATTATGATTGGAAAAGCTCTCAAAGATCAAATCTGCTTACATTTGCCCTAAATTATTCATTCTTCTTATAATCTTTTGATGCATATTTTTCTGTTCTGGTTTCAAGTACTTCAAGATAAGCAGCTGCCACCGTTTCCCACTGGAACTTAATTTCATAATGTAATAGTTTCCAAAGTACATCTTCCTGGATGACAGGCAAAACGGTCATTGTTTCACTTTATTTTCTGACTCCCATTTCCATTCCTTATTGGGTTCTAAATGAGGTGCCAGGCTTGAAGTCTTACTGCTGTTGATGGCCAAGATACTGCTAAAGGATCAGCCAGATATGAGAATTGGAGCCACAGAGTAGAAAGCCTATCCTTCCTGCTAAAATCCAACTTCTAAAATCCAGCACAGTCCCAACTACCAGGAAAATAAATGCCTAGTTTTGAGTTATTCCAAGACTCAAATGTAGTGTCTCATTTGTTTGTTTGTTTGTTTTTTAGCTGTGTTTTTCCTCTCACCTTTCGGTCCTTAGGAGCACTGATGCAGGATTCAACAGTTTCAACAGAGAATTGTTTATATTCTCTTGCTGAAATTAATGTGTGGCCCTGGTCCATAATATTTATTTATACATGCATTCCTTTTTACTTGTCATTAACATGCTGTTTATTGCATTCCTTTTACCTTTCCTTAAGAATTTGCTTTTTCCTTCAATTGTTTGCATTGATATCTTTTGAATTTCCTCCCTCTTATTTATTTTTTGGCATAAATAATAATTGGTGCTACAGTGGGAACTTGATAAAGCTTTTTATTATGTTTCCTTTTGTCCAACAGCAACCTGAGGCATAAAAAAAAGTCTGAACAGTTTGTCCAGAGTCACACAACAGTACAGAAACAAAGTTTTAATAGGAGTTGGTGCTCTTAGTTTTCTACGTTTTGTTTTTATTAAAGGTTCAGGTGTCCTAATATGTCTGTTGATTTTTTTCCTCTAAATCCTTTCCATTTTTTTCCTGTATCTTAATTTGAATTTTCTCTTAAATTATTATATTTGTTTTATTTTTTAAATGTCTTTTTGATTCTGTCCTCACTTCTTATCACTTTGGTTTATGAATACTGTAGAACAAATTCACATTCTCTTACTTCAGTAAAGAGTAATTTTCTTCTCCAGATCATTACTCAGTATTGCTAGTTAAGAACTTAATATCTAAAAATATGTAAAGATCTTCTCTAGATTGTTCAGTAAATGTATTAAAATTTTTGATAATTTATTTGGGGGAAAACCCAGGTGATTCTCACCTTTACCATATCCCAAAATAAATTACAAGTAGGTTAAAAGATTAACTTTTTAAAAATCTTAACTTCCAGGAAAAGTTGAATGATATAAGAAACCACATAAGAAAAGATTAATATGTTTAACTGAATATAAATATAACTATTTAAAAATCCTTAGTATTTTAAGGCAACAGTAAACTGTACATTTATAACAGATATGTTTAAAAAATAACTACTAACTTATCTATCATAGTAATCAATAATAAATACATTAATGTCATAATGTAAACATTAAGAAAGAGCATGAACAGACAATTCTTAAAGATAAGGATCGATAAATGAAGGGAGTTATATGAAAATGTATTTTTCTCTAACCAAAGAAAGAAAAAGTAAAACAATAAACCATTACTACCTATAAAATAGCAAAATTTAAAAATCAGTTTAAATGCTAGTGAAGTTTGAGTGACTGAGTGATTTTAACTCCTCTTTAAAAACTTCTGAATTATACAAATTTGCTACAATAAACATGTTTTTGTAACAAAAAAATATAACATTTTAAAATCTGTATGGATGTGTAGTTAATCCTTTCAAGCACAAGACATGACTAAGTTTTCAAACTTTAAGTTGATTTTACTGACACAATTTCCTAATTCCACCACATTTCAATAAAACTAAATATTGTTTGCTCCTTAAATATAAGAATTAACAAAAGCAGAGATTTCTCCAAGGTAAGGGCATCCTATGGTAATATTTCACAGCCAGGATAGGAAAGGCCTTACCAGGCCAAGGGCTGCTTTGTGGCAATGTACTCTGTAAGGGCAACAGCCTATGCAAGCTTAACTTCCTAACTGAACTTTGAGACATTGTCTGAGGTGTTAGGGTGAAGTGCTCTGGAATTGTTTAGGGCTCGGAGGAAATGGACTTGCCATAATAAAGGAAAATTTTAAGGTAAATAGGTAATCAAGAAAGACATATTTTTTTATTTTATTTTTTTAGTGACAAAGGTGTAGATTCTATCCATTGACTTTTAAATATTAAAATTAATCTCAGTGTAAACAATTTTCAAGTTTTTGTGAAGAGCTCTTAAAATAGATCCCTTAGAGAAGCAGAAGGTTGGAGTTCAGTAGGACTTTATTCATTATTACTTAAATTTAATGATAGGCATAGCTTTTTATAAGCCATTTACTTACACTATCTGTTTACCCCTGGTAATAATCCTCTGAAGTAAGTACACTTAACTATGTGTTTTACAAAAGAGAGGAGCCCGACTGGATTGGCTCAGTTGGTTGAGCATCATCCTGTGCACTGAAAGGTTGCCAGTTCAGTTCCAGTCAGGACACATACCTGGGTTACAGGTTCCATCCCAGGTCAGGATGCATAAGGAGGGCAACCTCTCTCTCTCTCACTCTCTCTCTCTCTCTCTCTCTCTCTCTCTCTCTCTCTCTTTCCCTCCATGTCCTCGAGTGAGGATAAAAATAAAAGAGGAGGAAATTGAGATGCAATAAGGCTACATAGCCTGACCAAAGGTGCACCACAGCACCATGAGAGAGGCAGGGTTTGGGCCCAGATGAATATGACTGCAAACATTGAGTTCTTAGCCCTGCATACTGTATTGCCTCCACATTATACTGCAGTCAATCTTGACCTTCCTCCCAACAATAGACTTCAACTCTATGGAGGGAACGGTATAGTCTAACATGACCTGCCCACCCTACCCTTGCTTTTGGGTGACAAAGCAGACAGAGCTGAGGTTTTAAATTCTAAGTTGGGTTGAACCTTTGCTTCACTATTGTGTTCCTAAATTAGTCCTTTCTTCACCTGTGAAATGGGTGCAAGTAATCCCTCAGAGCTCCTGTGAAGATTCAGATACATGTGCAAAAGTGCTTAGAGCAGGTGCTTGGCAAATAATCGGTGTTTAATAAATATTCATTTCCTTTCTTCTCTTGTCAGACAAAAATCATTCTTCCTTTAGTAAGTTAGTTTGCATGGAAATGCGTTCATGGCTCTGTTTATCACAGAAGCCTTAGAAAATTTACTCACTAGGTCTATCTATTTTTCCCTGCATGAGATTATTTTATTAAAAATCTCAAAGGAGGCAGAGTGTGGAGCACTGTTTGTCCACCCAGAGGCATGGCCCAGCACGCACACATTCTCCCAAGTGGTCACATGACCCCTCACACCTGGGTTTGCTCAGATGCCGGCTGTGGCTCCATCAGAAAAGGCAAGGCTCAGGCCAGGAGCTGGAGAGAGAGCCTGGCATCTCAGAGGCTTCTCATCCCAGGTTTGGGCTGGGATGCTGTGGGAAGCCAAAACAGAAGTTGATATTCGCTGATGTTCTGAATGCTCTCTTTTCTGGGCTTGAGCAGGCTTTTTCTGGTCTTACAGTTTCTATGATTCTTGCCTCTCTCATCTCTCCTACATAACTGTGTCCCCCAATTCCAAAAACTGCTTATATGCTATTTCTCAAAGATAGCTTATCACTTCCTGTTCCCACACTTTTTCTATTGTCAGGCTCTCTATCTGAAATAACCCTCGACCCCAAATGAACCCATTGAACTTTCACTTTCAAGGCCCAACTCTCATGCCTCTTACTTCATGCATGTGCTCAGAGCACTCTGAATGGATAGACCTTACTTACCTGCTACTAAACCGCTGGGGCACTTGGTGTCATTCAGGTGACAGATTGCAGGTACCTTTGTCTTTTAGAACTGAAAATTGACCGAGTAGAATAATGGTTTAAAATGGTGTGTGCTTAGCAATCCCTTACTAAAGTACCTATGAAACCAGCAGAAGCCGAATTCTCACTAGTACACTAAAAACTATTATCAGAATCACAAAGGAATTTCTGCCAATTTAAAGGCCAGAAGAACTGGATGGAGAAAATGTCTAAACTGCTTTCCCACTAAAAATAGATTAAAATTCTCAACCTGAAAACAGAACCATTCTTTGCTCCTCTCCATCTGTTGACCTTTCACCCAGATATACAGGAGCCATGTCGCTCACCACCAACATGCACACAAACAAAACAAGTGAAGGGGCAAACGTCCCTCTAACAGGTAGGTGATGTTTTGGGGTATCCAGAATGCTGTCCCATAATCCTAGTGCAATGATCCAAAGGAGTTAAAAATAATAATAGTTGCTGTACTCAACTATGGTATCATAAGAGAAAAAGATATTTGGATATATATCAGTAAAGGTGCTTACCGAATTGTGTGTATGTCCAAAAAGACCATTTTATGCTACCAAAATAATTTATATGGTGTTTAATCCTAATAACATTCTTCTCCAATGCAGAAGAGGGTCCAACGTATCTCTTACATTGGACATGAGCAGCTTAGGGAATGTTGAACCCTTCGTGGCTGTTCCAACCCCCCGGGAGAAGGTAGCAATGGAGTATCTACAGTCAGCCAGCCGAATTCTCACAAGATCACAACTGAGGGACGTCGTGGCAAGTTCACATTTACTCCAAAGTGAATTCATGGTGAGCCTGTTATTATTTGCCCTTCGTTAGGTATTATGATAAACGAGCCACTAGAGGCACATACTAAGATGGCCCCACCCTGCACGGAACAATAAAAATGGTTACAGTTAAAAGGTTAAGTGCAAGGTTTTAGATCTACCCTGTAGCTCATCAACTATTGATGTGTTCAAACTAGAATGTGATAACTCCATTGAGGCAGACTATGGAGGAGATGGCCAGGCAAAGGATTGGCAAAAGGAGCAGGCAGAGAAGAGCATTCCAGAAAGAGGGAACAGCCTTGCTGTCTTTGAAGAGCAAGTCAGAAGCGATACCCTGGTTTTGTTACTTGAGCAACCAGGTGCTCTTTAATGAACTATGGAACACACGAGAAGATCAAATGTGGTATAAAAGTGATTGTGAGTTTCACCTAAAAATTATGGTGACTTAGTGTTGCCGTGATAACTTAATTCATGATAACACATTTCTACTCAGAGAACATGTATACAGATTAGGTCTTCTTTGGCCTAATTGTTACGCAAGGGGAATGTCCATGTTATACTAGAAGATCACTTTGCATCTTACGTCAGTTGTGCATCTTAAGCTATAACTATTGAGAGTAATAAATTGATCATTCTCAGGTCATTTCATATATTTCAATTACCCTGATGGTGAAAGATCCAGAAATGGATTAGATCTACTATTAGCCTCATCAATGATTATTAAGTGTTTAAAGTAAAACACAAACATGCAGTTTTTTTAAGTAGACTTCGTAGTGTAGACTTAGTGAAATAAAGCAACTAGTCAATGATCGCACAACTAGCCAAAGGTACACCCATTATTCTTTTCTAGAATCACAGAGAGTCTTTGTTCTTTAAGATGAGCCCTGCCCTAACCAGTTTGGCTCAGTAGATAGAGCATTGGCCTGCGGACTCAAGGGTCCCAGGTTCGATTCCAGTCAAGGACATGTACCTTGGTTGCGGGCACATCCCCAGTGGGGAGTGTGCAGGAGGCAGCTGATTGATGTTTCTCTCTCATCGATGTTTCTAACTCTCTATCCCTCTCCCTTCCTCTCTGTAATAAATCAATAAAATATATTTAAAAAAAAAAAAGATGAGCCCTTAACATAGCCTGCTTTCCTTAAAGGAAAGATGGGGCAACCAGGAAGCTGAGAAGAGAGATAATGCTGGAAGATGACAAATTAGTGTGAGTCAGAAAGCAGGAAGGAGCACAGGAGGAATAAAGATATCACCGACTCTGTGGCTTTGCCAAAACAGACTGACCTCTTTGAAATTGCCAAACATGAATATGTGGTTTCTACTGACTGTTCAACAATTTTGCTTATTTTGGTAACTTGGACTGAGTAGAGAGTAGGGATTAATATTATAACTATCTAGAATAATGCAAGTTTAGGAAATATTTTAAAAATATGTTACTCCTCTTTATAGAGCAAGTCTCAAATTCATAGTATAGTCAGGCTTTTCTCAAAATTTTAGCTTGACTGAAAACTAGGACAATTTGAACTAATTTATTGATAATTTCTTTTATTTCAATGACTACTAGGCTTTTGAGTATAGTTTTCAGGAGAGAAAGTTTAAATAACAAAAAATATTGCTTTATATAATATAGAAATAACAGTTATCTTATTTCACATTAACCTTATCTTAGCAATCCTTTGTGGAATTTTAAGTTAGAGAATTATTACATAGTATTTTGTATAACCAAATGCTTGCATATTTGTTTCCACCCTTTTGAACACAGGCTTATTGGTGTTTTTGCCAAGTAACTACAGATGCTCATCTTTTGGGTCTAATTCATTTCCACAGAGCCACTTCTGCTGTCATTATTCTGACTCCAATTATCTAAGACATATGAAATATATTCTTACTGAATAAGAATATTCTTAAGTGGGAGAAAACAGTGCCTGGATGCCCTTCACTAAAAATATTGCATTTGAAGCCACAATAGGAACAGAACAATTACAGACCATTCTTTAATACAAAAAAAAAAATCACACTGTCATCACTTGAATCAACACAAAAGCCCTTTATATTTGCCATTCAGAGAGGGAGGTTTTAATAGTCTTAAAAGAGTCACAATTAATGTCAAAAGAGAATTCATCAGAGAGAAATTTTGGGTCCTGAAAAGAAAGATTTGAAGAAATTTGAATACATTGCTAAAATATCAGTTTTCAGCTTCCTGTTTATATATTTTCAGCAACTATACAGAACAGGATTCTTAAAATCTAACCAAATTTTTATATTTTTCAAGTAACTACATATAAAATAGAGCTTTCTAACGCAGACAACTGTTTCTCAGAGTCAGCTTGCCAGGGTGCCGCTGATATGTTTATGGAAGGAAGGGTGTTGGTCCGCCAGAGGTGGTAGGCTGTTGTTTATAAATGACTTTGAAGTCCAGAGAGCTTTGGATCAGATGCCCCCCTGTGAAGATTTTCTTTGTGGAAGCATTAGATGTACTAATTTGATATCATTCATTTTTGCAGGAAATACCGATGAACTTTGTGGATCCCAAAGAAATTGACATTCCACGTCATGGAACTAAAAATCGTTATAAGACCATTTTGCCAAGTAAGTTCCTTGAATTAAATAGTTTGTATTTACCCTTACCTTACCATTTGCCATTGTCACGACTTCCACATACACACCAAATTTGGAATTGCAAACACGATCAAGTCTAATCATCTTTAAAATGGTCTAAGGTTAATAACTTTATCTTGTATTACTCTTATTATAGTGGGCAGTTCACAGTTCTAGTACGTACATGGTTCTAAAATTGTATTGTGCCACACATTATAGTTGATTTTCATTGATGGTGTCTATCAATTCAATGGGGGAATGAATAGTCTTTTTAACAAATGGTGTTCAGACAACAGGATACTCACATGCAAAAAAAATAAATAAAATTGGACCCTGCCTCACCATATACAAATTAACTCAAAATGGATCAGAGACCTGAAGGTAAAAGATAAAACTCTTAGTATAAAACAGCTGTAAATATTCAGGGCCTCAATGATTTCTTATATATGACATCAAAAGTACAAACAACAAAAGAAAATATACATAACTTGGCCATCAAAATTAAAGCTTTTGTGCTTCAAAGGACACCATCAAAAATAGAACGATGAGTTAGAATTTGGGGAAAAAAATTGCAAACTACACATTCTATTTGAAATGTATAAGAACTCTTGCAATTCAATTATAAAAAAATAATAACCCAATTTTAAGAATGGGCAAAGGACCTGCGTAGACATTCCTCCATAGAAGATATAACTGGCCAATAAGCACATGAAGAGATGCTTAACATCATTAGCTATCAGGGAAATCAAAACCACAGTGAGATGCCACTTCACATCCACATGATTATGATAAGAAAGATAGACAATAGACAGTGTTGGCAAGGATGTAGAGAAATTGGAACCTTCCTTCATTCCTGGTAGGGTTGTAGAAAAGTGCAACTACATATGAAACAGTCTGCTAGTTCCTCAAAAAGTGAAACCAAGAGTTACTGTATAACTCAGACATCCAAATCCTAAGTATATACCCAAAAGAAATGAAAATGTGCCCACACAAAAGCTGTACACACATTTTTAAAAGCATTATATTCATAATAGCCCCAAAAGTGGAAACAACCAAAATGACCATCAACTGATGAATGGATAAATAAGATGCAGTGTATCCACCCAATGGAATATTATTCAGCAATAAAAGGAATGAGGTACTGATACATGCTGCAACATGGATGAACCTTGAAAACATTATGCTGAGTGAACTAAGTCATTACAAAAGACCTTCTATTGTATAATTTCACTTATATGAAGTGTCCAGATAGACAAATCTATAGAGACAAAAACTACATTAATGATTGCCTAGCGTTGGGAGACATGGGAATGACTGCTAAAAGGTATGGAGTTGATTTTTGAATAAAGAAAATGTTGTAACTCATGGACATGGACAACAGTGTGGTGAATGCCAGGGAGATGGAGGTAGGGGGAGTTGGAGAAGGAGATGGGGGGATAAATGGTGATGAAAGGAGACTTGACTTAGGGTGGCGAACACACAATACAGTGTATAGGTGATGTGTTGTGGAATTGTGCACCCGAAACCTGTATAATTTTATTAACAAGGTTAGCCAGTGTCACCCCAATAAATTCAATAAAAATGAAAAAAAAGAAAATGTAAAATTGATTGGTGTGATGGTTTCAAATTCTCTGAATAAAAATAAACTCTGTGAAGGCACACTGTAAACAGGTGAATTGTAGGGTATGTGAATTATACCCCAATTAAACTATACCAAAAAACTTCATTTTGCATAACAATTACCTAGAGTCCTAATTAAAAATCTAGAGTCCTGAGCCCCATTCTGGGGATTCGGTGTAAGTAGGTCTGCTATTGGGCCCAGGAATCTGTACTTCTCATAAACACTCAGGTGATTCTCATTCAGATGATAACAGCACCACACTTTGAGTAATATTGCTATAGACTAGCGGTTCTCATCCTGTGGGTCTCGGCCCCTTTGGCAGTCGAACGACCCTTTCACAGAGGTCGCCTAAGACCATCCTGCATATCAGATAATTACATTATGATTCATAACAGTAGCAACATTACAGTTATGAAGTAGCAACGAAAATAATTTTATGGTTGGGTCACAACATGAGGAACTGTATTTAAAGGGCCAGAAGGTTGAGAACCACTGCTATAGACTCTATTAAAACTAAATTTGGCTCCATGAAATTTATAGACGTTAAGATATGAGCTGGAAGCCTGGAGCTAGCAAGGAATAAGGAACAGTTTGTAAGATAAAGGAGATCATGGACTAGAGAGGAGAGACATGTAAATGAGTAATTACATTCAATGTAATAAGAGCCAAGATAGAGACTTAGCTCAAGTGATGTAGGACTGTAGAGAGAACTGAGTAATTAATTTTGGTTAGAGTGGTAAAAATACTTTGGAGAGGGAGTAGCATTTTGAATCACTAAAGAAACAGATATCATTGGGGTTTTGGCAAAATCCATAAACATCTCATGACAATAGCTCTGGAACGATAGAACCACAAAGATTTTTTTAAAATACTTTTTTATTGGTTTCAGAGAGGAAAGGAGAGAGAGAGAGAGAGAGAGAGAGAGAGAGAGAGAGAGAAATCAATGATGAAAGAGAATCATTTATTGGCTGCCTCCTGCACACTCCCCACTGGGTATCAAGCCTGTAACCCCAGCATGTGCCCTGACCGGGAATCGAACCGCGACCTCCTGATTCATAGGTTAACGCTCAACCACTGAGCCACGGTGGCTGGGCAAGATTTTTTAAGGTATTGACATTGAAATAGTGGAGTCTTCATAATTCAATCCATTAATTCACTCATAAGACAACAAATTTTCCATATCTAGAGTAATAGCAAGAAATATGGTGTCTTTGGGATTCCCCTACTGGTGGACTTGGAAAAGCATTGTTAAAGTCACTCTACTAGAGCATATTTTTAATTGTTCCATATACTAGTTGAATCTATTTACTAAGGTATAATCACTGTGAAAGATGTTTTATAACTGTAACTAGCTGAATGGGATAAAACTAATTTGTGTTAGGATTGCTGTCTCTTCCTCTGTTAAAACTTTTTTTATTTAAAATTTACCAAACTAGGTAACTAGGGAACATGCCTCAATTGCAGTTATTATATTTACCCATCTAATCTCAGAAGGATTTGGAAATTATTAGGGTTGCTTCTAAGTTCAGCCTTCTCCATTTCCTGCCCAGATGATATCAGACAACTGCTTCATAGACCTGTGTCAGCTTTTCCATTCCCAGAACTGGGTGGGTCGCTTGAGCCAGGGCACCTGTGCTGACAACTGAAGTTCCAAATGATGGATTTTCTGTTGAAAATGTTTCTAGCCTGAATACCACCCCACCCTCTGTTGCACAAAATACAATTTAGTCCATATGGCTGGACAGGGCACACCAGAACTAGACTAGAACAAATATGCAAAGTTGTTCTTTATGGCTTATTTTAGACTGTAATATAAGTTTAAAATATTACATAAAAATAATTAGCAACTGATTATATTTTAAATGTTATGATTGTTTTTATTGTTTTGACCTACAATAAGCTTTTTTAAACATTCAATATTATTTTGTATTCATTTCAGGTGCACAGCATAATGGTTAAACAAGCATATACTTTACAAAGTGCCCCCCTGATATTTCCAGTACCCAACTGGCCACATACATAGATATTACAATATTATTGACTATACTTCCTTTAGTCATCCCCATGGCTGTTTTACAACTACTAGTCTGTACTTCTCAATCCCTCCACCTTTTCACCTGATCCCCTAACCCCCATCTCCTGTGGCAACCTGTTTCTCTGTTTTGACTTTGTCCATTTATATACAATAAACTTTTAATTTTAAAAGTTTGTCAGCTTATAAATAATGGTGAGGTTAAATAATTTTGAGAATGTTTGCAACAGAAATATGGATGGCCAAGAACAAATTAAATTGTAGCTGCTTCTCTAAGGACAGCGTCAGCCCAGCTCAGAACACTCTTAAGTGGTTGATTAAAGTGCCAAGGTCAAATTTATATCAAATTATTTTGCAATATAAACAAGCATTAGTGATGAAAACATGTCTACATCCTAAATCGCAAAAGCATTGGGGGAAAACTGACCATATATTAATACTAAATGACTTGTAAAACAATGCAGTATAATAATAATAAATTTTATGTGTATTTCTTTCATGCAGTCAACTTATGTATGCTAATATAAAACAATATAGATAAAATTAAAGAATTCTATTTGTTCTGACCATCATTTCATATTTAAAAATTTAATATCTGGTAAAGTTTCTTAAATTATTTTTCCTGTTTTATTATATTAAGTACATAAAACAGAATAGATATGCAAGTAAGTTAACTACTTATTAAGACAAGTTATGTGGCTATAGCAAAATATTGGAGTTGGACTTGAAATCCTACCCAGGTAAAACATTGACAATTTAAGGCAAGCTACTTAATATTCCTGTGCCATCCTTTCTTTATTCCTAAAAATAATAATAATTATACTACCCTCTAGGACTACTGGGAGAATTAAATGATAATATGTGTAAAATCCCTAGGAAAGTTTCAACTAATAGTAAGCCCTCAGCTAATGTTAATTTCTGCTTTCCCTCTCTAACAAATAAGATAGATCCATCATTAATCCCAGAACCAATTCCAGGAAGTAGGGACACTATCTATATATAGAAAAACTTACAGTTGCAAAAGAAACATATTCAAGATCCCTGTTTTCTTTTATAATTTTCACATGGGTCTTTAAAAATGAGTTTCTGTGTAATCACCATCTTTATTGCCAAGATCAGCACTGTCCACTAACGCTCTCTGCAATGATGGGAACGTTTCATATCTCCATGGGGATAACCACTGGGCACATGTGGTAACTGAGTGCTTGAAGTATAGCTAGTGAACCCAAGGATCTAATTTTTAAATGTCATTTTATTTTAACTTAAATTTAATGAGCTACATGTGGCTAATGGCTGCCATATTGGACAGTCTTCTCTCTCTCCTGCAGCAAATTTGAA